GCTCACCCTGTAGGTTATGAGCTCCCAGCCGTGTGCCACCCCAGCACCATTTTCTTCCAGATGAGCAAGCAGGAGGCCCTCCTGTCCCCACAGTGGGAGGCAGGGCAGGGGTGGTGCCAGAACCTGGGTTTCTCTGATGCCTGCAGCCCTGCCCTTGGCCAGGGCTTGGCAACTAACTGCTCTGTGCCTCGGTTTCCCCTCCTGGCCTCGGAGCAGCTGGGACCACTGGCTGGGCCGTGGGCGTGATGAACGGCGCTAATAACAGGTCCCCAGGTGTGCGGGGACTCCAGGGCTGTTGTCATTAACACTGCGGCCCGGAGGGGAGCGGGCATATTGCAAGCTGTAACTCTGGCATGCTGGCAGGCGGCAGGGCGGTGGGGTGCAGAGGGGCGGTGAGCTCCACGGCCAGCACTGGCTGGCATTGCTACCAGGGCCCTTTCAGGGCGCCCTCACAAGACAATGACAGTTCTAAGATTTTCTGTTTAACGACACACACGGACCGTCCAGCCACCGAGCCCAAGGGAACAGGCCCTGGTGGACTGGCAGAGGGGGTAGACACCTGCATGGGGAGGCCCAACCCAGGGGACCGGGGTCTGGTGTTGACAAACTGTGTCCCCACCTATGTCATGTTCCAGGCCTTTTCTTCAGGGGGCCTCCCGCACAGTGCCCAGGGGCCCAGGGTGCCAGCCTTAAGCACTTAGCTGGCACACTGGGGTGTGGTAAGGGCTGGCTCTCCAGCTGTGTTGGTCAAGGGCCCTGGGGCTGGAACCCCCGCCTGACCGCCTCTTCCTCCCCCAGGACCCCCTTCCAGGACCCCGTGCCTGGGCTGTGCCTCAGTTTCCCACATTCACACAGGGGCAGCAAACAGGAGAGCCCACGGGATGCAGGCTGGGGGGCTGCGGCCACAGAGCAGCAGGGCTGGGGGATCCCATGGTCTCCTGGAGGCTTCTGGAACATCCTGGGCTCCCCTAAGCCCAGCTGCGTACGCCTCCGGATCCAGGGGGTGAGTCGGGGGCTGTCAGGCTGGCAGCCCCAAAGAGGGTCTCTCCCTCTCCTGGCCTCGGAGGGAGGGGTCTTGCCCCAGATGCCATGGGGCTTCTGGCTCCCGTAAGTGAGGGTAAGTTTGGAGACACGAGGCGGGTGTCTGCCCTGCCCCATCAGGGCACAGAGCCGGGGGGTCAGCTGCCTCCAGGACACCTCCTTGGGGCAGCCCCCACCCGGTCTACTCCTCCTTGGCCCCCAGTCCAGCCCCAAAGCCCCCTGTGGCTGTCCCTGCCCACCTCTGCTCAGCCTCCGAGGCCCCCCCACTCAGGCCATGCCCTGCCCACCCCAGCCTCTGTGAAGTCTGGGCCAAAAATGCCTGAACCACCCCTCAGGCTGGTGTGCCACCTGCCCTGTGCCAGGGCCTCCCCTGCACCACGCCAGACCCAGACCTAAAGGTCACCACCAGTACTGTCCTAACACAATCACTCTGGAGGGGAAATTGAAGATGGGGGGGCTCCAGCCCCTCCCCTGAGGTCTCTGCTCGGCCAGCTGCCACAGCCCAGATTCGGCCATGTAATTTCTGGTTTGTGTATCATCTCCTGGTGATTTTTGGCCCGGACAGCAACCTGGACCAGGGTCCCCGACACCACGGCCTCCACCCTTGGCCCCCAAGTCCCCCAAATACGGGGCCTGGAGGCTACCAGCGCAGCTACCCACTGCTTCCACCCCAACGCCGTGACAGGTGCTCACCAGATGCTCGCTGGGGCTGCTGACACTGACGAGCGAGCCACATTTCTTGCATGGTTGCCCCTTTTCTGACCATGCAGCTTCCATGTCAATCCATGTGCAACCTTCATTCAGTCATTCACTCCACCGATGGGCATTTATTGAGCGCCTACTAGGTACCAGGCACATTCTGAGGACACAGTGAGACCAAGGCAGACAAAAATCCCTGCCCTGGGGGCGCTGACCATCTGGAGGAGGGCACAGACAAGAAACAGGATGAATGAGGTGAATTCAGGATATGCCTGCAGGGGACAAGATGTGCAAGAAAGAGGGAGGGGGAGATGGCATGCGTCAGGCAGAGGGCCCCAGTGCCTCAGAGGATGTCAGGGAGCCAGTGTCAGGGCGGCCATCAGCACTGAGGGCGAGGGGTGGGCCCCTGCATGGTGGTCCCGCGGCCAGAGGACAGAAGGGGCTGTAGGGGACCCCGTCCTGCGACCAGGACGGCCACGGTCTGAACCTGATAGGGCTGGAAGGGAGGGAAAGGGGCAGACACAGCTCCACCCTGGAGCCGCTGTCAATGTTGGGGATCCTCAGGGCGCCCTCCTGCCCGCCTCCCAAACCCCTGTGGCTGGCGCCAAGAGGGCAGTAACCAACTGTGGGAATGGGAAATGTTTTCCCTCTGGAATCTCTGGGCGGGAAAAGCTTTGCACGGGACCCACATACTGATGGCCGAGCACGGCAGGGTCTCAGCTGTGGGTGGGCAGGGTGAGGGGTCCCCGGCCCCCAGGAGCGAGCCAGCAGTCTGCACTTCAATGGTGGGCTCGGGCTGTACAGGGGTGCACACCAGCGTGAGGCTGCGCGGCTCCTCTGCACATGTGTGCACGCGCGTCTGTGCGTGTCGCAGGCAAGTTCAAAGGGAGACTCCAGACTGTGGGCCGGGCACTGGGTCCCACCGGTGACCAAGAAGAGCTGTCCCCGACCTCTGGGGACTCCCAGCCTGTGGGTGAGATGGACAAGTAAAGAATCAGATCAGACCGCGTGGGCTGTGGACCGAGGGAGACATCGGATCAGTGGTCTGTGGGAAGGGTTAACAGGCGGGGAGCAGCATGGAGCCCGGAGTGGGAGCAAAGGTCATTCTTTACTCACCTGTCCAAGGTCACCTTTTGTTAAAACTCTGTCTCAAGAAAAAATAGTCCTCATAATAATTAAGTGGACACAACCCAAGTATCCATAAACTAGTGAACAGATACACCCGTACACAGCGCATCACGCGGCCGGGAAAAGGAGCTGAGCCCTGCCACGCACCACACGTGGACGGGCCCTGAACATACGATGCTCGGTGAGAGCCAGACACATAGGCCACACGGCGTGACCCCATTTCTGAGACACGTCCACAGCAGGCGGGTCCACAGGCAGGATGTGGACTCGTGGGCGCTGGGGGCAGGGGCGGGGGCGGGGCTTCCTTTGGGGAGATGGAATGTTCTGGAACTGATAGTACCAAAAGCCACTGAACTGTACGCTGTAACAGGTAGATTGTATGGTATGTGGATTATATCTCAATAACTAACAAAAAAATAACAGCATCAAAGTCAACTGCGAAGACCTCACCCCGTGACCCCTGTGTTTAACCCCTCTGGGTCCCTCGGTCCTCCTGGCTGGGGTGGAGTGCGGGCGAGGAGTCTGGGGGGCTCAGGATGCCTGGGGCCCTCTCTGCGGAGTGGGCATGCTGAGGGTCTCTCTCCGTGGTGCTCGGCTCAGTGTCAGCCTCCCTCCCACCCCGGGCGGGGCACACACAGGGGTCTTTGTGCCGCACAGGCCTCATTACAAGGCAGGCCCCGTCGCTGGGCCCGGCACTGCCGAATTAATTAGCGGAGAGCCTTCCCTCCTGGCTAACCGTGCCTGAGACGTGCAGGCCAGGCGGGTGTTGCCACGGCAGAGGAGCGGCTGGGGACCCCGGTGCCTTGGCCCCGCTGGGGGCTCGCTTCCCTCGCCTCCGTGGCTGGGCCTGGGGGAGGCTCCTGGCACCCCACCGCCCACTGGCACATGGCTGTTGCAGAGCCAGAAAGGGATTAAGAGATAACAGACCCCCCACCCTGGCCTGCAGCAGCTGGAGAAACCAAGTCACCGAGTGGCAGAGCCTGTCCGTGGAGATGTCACAGAATTTGGGGCTTGAGTACCTCCCTCCCCGCAAGCACTGACAAGGGGTCCAGCCTGGGGCCCGGGGATTCCTCCATGCCAGGAGCGTGGGATGGACCTGTAATAAGCCCCTGCCGAGTCCTCCTGGCAGGGAAGCTTGTTCCCATTTCTCAGAGGGGGACGCTGAGGCCCATGGGTGGCAACAAAGGATACACAACATCCATAAAATGCCCATTCCAGGGTCCGGCCCCCAAAGGATGCACAGAACCAAAGAGCCGATCGTGATGGTCCCCAGACATTCCTCGCTGACACCCCACCCTGGCCGATTCCAGACTCAACTCCAAATCAGTAGCTCGGCGCACTCCTCCGGCTGGGGCCAGAGGCCCCCACACAGATGCACAACCTTGAGATTCACGCTCATTTTATTATAAAAAAATACAGAATCAAAGTTGCTCGTGATGGGAGTGGGGAGGCCCGTCACCAGCTCCAGGCGTAGCAACACCGCCCACCCACACTTATCCCTACAGAAGCGCCCCACCAGGCGTGCCAGCCAGCCCCCCGGCAGCCGCACACGATATATATTTATATATAATATATATAAAACACAGATCGGGAAGGCGGGTAGAAATATGAAACCTGTACAAATGCGCTGTTCACTTCATTGAAGTGTCTGGGGAGGGGTCTCTTTTTGGCCACCACCTGCCCTCCCCCCCGTTTTGTTTTGTCCTGTTTTCTTTTTTCTTATAAACGTGATCAGGTCACGGAGTAGAGGGAAGGGACTCCGACAGACAATGAGCTTATTGCAAAGTGCAGCTTCTACTCTAAAAGTCCAGCCCACCCCCCCACCAAAATAAAAGCCACCCCCGAGGAAGGGGTGAGGAAATAAGTGACTCCCCAGGCCGTCCGCGGGAGTCTGGTGAGAGTTGATCACAGTATATGTTCGCCGGCTCTATTTACAGAAATGTAACATCTTCTGGCCTCGGGGGCGACCGTGCGGGGCTGGTGGGACACGGCAGTGCCAAGGTGGTTTCTAAGACATGGGTGCTGTGAGGTGACACACCGTGGGGCCGAGGGCGCAGGGGTCTGCTGGAGCCAGGACCCAACAAATGGAGTGGCCAAACCAGGGGTCCTCCACCCCCTACCCCCCAGGGGGCTGGAGACCCCTGCCCCACCCACCGTCCATTCTGTTTCCTTCCCAAGGTCGCCGGGAACAGCAAGGAATAAATTAAATTAAAAACTCAAGTCTTTCTGATCCAACCATGAAAAATACACTTAAAAAAAAAAACTCTCCCAGAGGTTCTCAGATTCTCCAGCGCCCCTGGACCGGACGGCTCGGCCAGCAGCTGTGCCAACATGGGCCCACAGGCACTGGGGGTCCTCGGTGGCCAGCCATGCCTGGGGTGGGTCCTGGGGTGGGCGGAAGGCCCCTGGCCCCGCAGGGGCAGCACCAGTTGTGGGAGAAACGGCGTCTCTATTTGGTCTCGGAGGCGGGGTGGTCCGGGTGGGTCAGCGTCCTGCGGGGTGGGGACTAGGAGCCCAGGAGCACGCACAGCATGGGGACAGTGCCCAGGAGGAGCTGGCAGCCGCCCAGGCCACTGCATGAGTTATTGCTGGTGAAGATGGGCTCGGGAGCCTCGTACAGGGTCTCGTCTGGGGGGACACAGAGGCAGCATGGTCAGAGGTGGCCCAGACCCCCATCCCCAACTGGCCGCACGTCCGCTCCCCTCTGTTTCCTGGGGCACCGCAACCTGGCACTGTTAACGGGCTCCACCTTAGCCGCACCTCCCGGCCCCGGAAATTTCTATCCATCTTGGCTGGGGCTGTGCCTCCAGCGCAGAGTGTGGCAGACCTAGGCACCCAATAAATGGGTGCCTGGGGCCCGGGAGCCCCCTCTTCACCTGGCCATGGCCTTTCAAGAGCTCAGGATAGAGGCCCTCTGTCCTCGGTGGGGCACCCCCCTGGCGCCCTCTCTCGGAGGCAGGAGGCCTGGCCACGGACTCCCCTTCATTCTGGAAGCCCTGAGACCATGTCCTGGTCTGCAGATGGGGAACCTGAGGCTCAGGGGCAGGACCTGCCCCAGCCTTCGCTGAGGCTGTGGGGCTCCCATGGCTGTGCTGTGACCACCCTCTGACTGCTGACCAATCAGTGGATTCTGTGGGTTCGGAACAAAGCGGTTGGGGGCCTGGACCCTGCAGGACCCCCAGGCACTTACTGGTTGGTCGGACATAAACCTTCAGCCGCAGGCAGGGCCGGTCCACAACATTGGGTGGCGTGGCAGCTAGGAGGAGGGGAGGGAGGTCAGTGAGGCGGGGGGGTCTCAGCGCCCAAGACCTCCTAGGGCTGTACCCCCTTTCCTACACCAGTGACTCAACCCTGCCCCAGGTCGGGGAAAGCCACCCATACAACTGCTACTCATACATCAAAGCCCCAGAGGCAATGCCCCCTATTTCCACATCCACTCCTTCCTTTGCTGAACCCTAACTCCAGAGACTGGGGGTGTCTGTGTCCAACTCCATCTCACCCCAGGGCGGCACAGGGCAATGTTCAAAGGTGATGAATAAAAAATACATTTGTTTTCAACTGATCAGCAAAAAAAAAATGGAATGATTGATCTGAGATCAAAAACCTGCTTCTCTGGGTGCCTGTTGGCAAGTCATTCCCTACCTGGGCCTCATCTGGCACACAGTAGGTGCTTCGGAAATGATTATTTCCATCTGAGAGGGAGGCAGCTTTCCCCTGTCACCCAAATAGGGCTGTGGAGGGGCAGGTGGGGCACCACAGAGCCAGCCCGGGTCAGGAGGGAGGCTCAGGGCCCGGGATGGGGGCGGGGAGGAGGCCCGGAGCGCAGCGCAGGCGTGGACACCCGCCGTGCCACGTGCGCGGTCACAGGACCACACGGCTGCCGCCCGGCCTGTCCTCACCTGCCCTCTCGGCAGCCGCCGTCTCTGCCTGCGCCCCCAGAAGCCCCTCACACTGGGGGATAGAGATAAAAACCGCACGTAATAAAAAAAAAATTTGTCACAGAGATAGGACGAATAATTACAATAATTATCTTATGAAACTCCCGTCTTGGAAAGAAAAATGTAATTTTTCTTATATTACGGGGATTTAAACACCTTCTTGCCTCCTCCCCCACCTTCTTTTTCCCTGAATTAAAAGGGAAAAAAATCCAAATAGAGCAGAAGGGAGGAAATGGAGCCTCTGTCGCGTTTAATTTGACACAGTGGGAGCTGGAGTCGGGGGGCACACCCACTCTCCACCTGGCCTCCCACCACCCCGAGGCGCTGAGAATCGGGGTGCCCCACCATCCGGCAGAGTCTCAGGGCCTCTGCAGAGGCATGGAGTCTAGTGCCCAAGACTCCATCTCGCTGGGGGCAGTGCCCGGCCCTGCCCATGCCTCCCCACCGCCACCAGATTCCCTCTTGCCTCGGGTGCCCGCCTGCCCGCCCCAGGGCGGTGGGGGGTGGGCACTCCTGGTCTCAGGGTGGGACAGGCCGACTGCGGGGCCACTGGGATAGACAGGCTGGGGTGGGGGTCTCAGCCCTGCTCTGGGCCTGTTTACCCGTCTGCAAAATGGGGACTTGACAGCGGGGCCTCGGGGAACAAGTTGGGAGGGTGGTGAGAAAACCCAAGGGCTCGGTCGCCGGACGCAGGCCAGTGCCAGCCCGGGACATGCCCTGGCCCCCTCCTCTGCCCACCCCTAGCCCCCGGGCCCCCCCGCCCGGCCGGCGCACACGCACAGATGTAGTAGTACTCGTGGCCCGGGCGGAACTCGAAGCCGAGTGAGAAGGGCGTGAAGAGCTGGAACTTCTCGGAGAACTTGAGCGGCCCCCCGGGGGCCGCGGGCCGGTTGCACTCCCAGCGCTTGAAGCCGCGCTGCCGGTGGTCGCAGGACGCGTGGCCCTCGCCGTTGACCATGTACAGCACGTAGTGCTCCATGCGCTCGGCGGGCGGCGGCGGCGCCCCGTAGTGCGGGCAGTAGATGTCCAGGTAGTCGTTGATGCTCACCTCCACCGTGTAGCCCCCACCGCCCGCCGCGCCGGCGTGGAACCTGGGGGGTCAGCACGAGGGTCAGTGGGGCAGGGATGGAGGGAACGGGAAGGGGTCAGGGGGCAGTGCCCAGGTGAGCCGGACTGCAGGGTGGGCTCCCTGTCCACGGCCGTTCCAGGTGCCAGCCCACCCACGCCCCCCTGTCTGGCATCCCCCCAGGCCGGCCTGGAGCCCCGGCCCCACAGTGAAGGGGACACTGGGGGAGGGAGCAGTCGCATGCAAAGCAGGTGCCCGTGACTGGGAACCCCTAGCTCCCCGGCGCAGGCAAGACATCTGGGCCTCTCTGCGGGCACAGGCTGTTCCCCCCACCATGAAGCCCCTCTCCAAAACCCCACTCCGTTGGTGCCACAACCCCTCCTCCAGCCAGCCCCCCATGCTGCCCATCAGACGCAGACACCTTATTTTTCCTTCTGCAGATCTGCCTGCCAGGTGGGCCCAGGGCCGTGTGGGGACGCAGACCAGGCGTTCCGGCCCCTCTAGGACAAGCTGGGCCCCCTCCCCTCTCCTAGCCCCAGTTTCCCCACAGGATGCGGGCCTCCCCACTCAGTAGTTCTCTGGCTTTGACCCCACCACCCCCACCACCACGTGTGACCCCAGAGAGTCATCCTCCCCGAGGCCTCTGGAAACCAGCCATTGTCCCCCAACCTCCAGCTCACGCCCCCAGTTTCCCCCACCCCTGAGACCCTCCAAGCAACCCCTGGCCCTGAGGACCGCAGACTGCCACAGAGCCTGCGCCCTTCCCTCTGGGAGCCCTGCTGACAGCCTCATCTAGCGAGGAAGGTCGAAGGAGAGGCCACGGGCTCCTCTTCCCCCACTGCCTTGGGCTCACAGCCAGGAGCCCTTAGACGTCCAGGACAAGGCCCCCCAGCTCCCTGTCACGTAAACACGGCCCGGACCAAGGGGGGCACAAGGGGGCCTCCCCAGAGGGCCTTGTTAGCACATAAAAGTTTCCAGCCATGCAGGGGTGGGGAGCAGGTTCCCCCAGCCTGCCCCTCCCTGCTCCCTGCACAGGCCGGGAAACGGGGGCCCAGCAAGGCAGGGGCGTCAGGGAGGGTGCAGTCTGCTGGCATCCCAGTACCCGCCACTGCCTCTGCCCACCCTGCCAGCTGCCCCGGCCCACAGGAGGGGCACATGGCAGGGCCCCCATGCTGGGTGTGCTAATTGGCACAGCCGGCACCTGACGGGGCGGCTGGATCATCAGATGGCATCGGTTGGCGCCCCACTGCCCTGAGACTGCGCCAGGCAGGCAAGGGCTCCTGGGACCCCCCCCAGGCAGGAGACCCCACTCATGGCTCCCTGTCCGTCACTGGACAGCCAGCGGGGACTTCAGCCTGTGGCCAGGGCAAAGGCAGCAGAATTTGGGGGTCAGGGAGCCAGAGGGGGCAGATTCATGCCCGTCCCCTTCCCTGCAGAGGGAGTCAGCCCACCGTCGCAGAATGGGGAAGGTGTCTGCAGGGAGGCTGGGCAAGGGGGGTCCGCGGGGGGCTGTGGAACCAACTGCGCAGTTCCAGGTGCACACAGGTTTGGGCCCAGCAGGGGCTCCCCGCACATTCTTTGCTCAGAGCCTCAGCTTCTGACCCTGTGCCGTGGGGACAGTCCTCGGGGAGGACGGGAAACTCCAGCTGTGTGCACACAGATTTGGGGCAGCCCCAGGCTGGGCTGAGACCCTGATCCGTCCAGGACGTGCCCATCCCTTGGGCTGCCCCACAGCCGACTGGGCACAGGCATCTCATTGGCTGGCTGCATCCTCTGGCCCCTTGGACGGGATCGATGCCCAGGCGGCTCCAGGCTTTTCCAAATGCCATTTTTGCTCCTTCCCAGCCCAATTGATCAGCCGATCGATGCCATCCTCAGCTGAGCACCGGCTAGGGACTCACCCACGCCCAGGCTGGCCCAGTGTGGGAGGCCAAGAAAGGGGAGCCACGGGGCACAGGGGCCTGTCCCCCAACCCCAGCCCTCTCTGGCTCTGAGATTCTTGGGGACGCACACTCAGTCTGAAGGAGCCTGCTTTCTGCAGGGTCCTCCTCCACACGGGAGACCCTGGGAGGCGGGGTATCACCCCTTTCCCCTGGTCAGCCTCTGCCTGTGTCTCCCCCGTAAGGCCTGCTTTCCTGCCCAGCACTGGGCACCACCATCCTCCTCCTCTCCCATCTCAACTTCCGAAACACGTCAAGGATCCAGGCTGCCTTGCCAGCTCAGAGGCTGGACACCTGGGGCTCCAGCGGGCCAGCTGGGCTCCTGGCCTCCCAAAACTCAGATCTCAATTTTCTGAGAGTAAGTCAGACCCTCTGGTCACTGGAGCAAAACTCCCCACTAGCTCTGTAGCACCCAGAATAAACCAGACAGTCCTCCAGGCTCATGAGGTCCCCTAGTGTCCACCCCACCCCACCATCACCACCCTCAGCCTGGCTCTAGCCACCCCAGCTGCCACCCCAGGGCCTTTGCATATGCTGCTCCTGCTGCCTGGAATGCTGTTCCCCGCCTCCCCACCTCATCACCGATCTCGTTCTGACATGGCCACACCTTTATGCCCTCTGCCCTCTAGAGCCTTGGCCTCGCTCACCCCTTCCCCAGTGGCCAGTACCTGGCCCTGAACACAGCAGCACTCATCATGTGTTTGTTGATCGAACAAAGGCCAAGGATTTGAGATCTTTGAGGTGCTAGAGTCACAGGGAGCAGATGGAGCCCCACACACAGTGGGGCGAGGACCCCAGGCAGGCTGTTCCCAGAAGCTTCACCACGCAAGCTCTGGTCACCTAAGCGGGCCATTTTTTTCCCTTCGAGGCTCTAAAATAGCGACAGCCTTGCTGTGCTGGCATTCCAGGTTCCAAGTTGGTGGGAGAGCCTGGGACGGGTGCCTAGCCACTGCCCAGGCTGACGCCTGTGCAGGACAGGGGGGCCAGCCCCTGGGCCGAGCCTGGTGCTAGCAAAACAAACCTTTCATTTCCTCCACCAGCACAGAAGCCTGATATGCAGAGTCTCCTTGAGAGCTGCAGATAGGGATCGAAATTCTCACTAAGGGTTAATGACTGACTTGAGACCTGTTCCCAGTCAGAGGGCTGCACAGGCTTTCAGAGCCCTCCAGATTCCCCAGCACATCTGCTCGAGCTCTTGGTCAACGCGCTGCCCACGTCCCCGCCTCCAGGCAGTCCTCCAGCCCTGGGTGGACCCTTGCTGGTCAGGTCCCCCAGATATGCTCTCCTGCCCACCCCCACCCACAGCCCCATCTCCCGCCCGGCCTGCAGCCAATTAGCTCCAACTGGGCAACTGTCAAGCCATTAGACGCTAACAGCAAAGCAACTAATTAGGAGTCTCACCTGGGATAGGGGTGGAGGTGGGCCACACCTGGTCCCAGACTGGAAACTGAGGCAGGAGTGGGGCAGGTGGCACCCGTGGGTGGGTCACACCCGGTGGGTCTGCGATGCCACCTCTCAGCTCCGTGGTCTCAACCAATTCATGGCTCTCGGTAAAGGGACCAAGAGACCCCAGGAAGACCCCAGCAAAGAGGATGCCCAGGCCAGCTCCTGAGAGGGCAGCAGGGTCCCACCTTCCCTTGCAGCGAGGCCCCCAGGACCTCAGCAACCTGAGAAGGACATTTCCCCCTTCAGCCAGGGGCCTGGGCGGGACCTCAGTAAATTAGGGAAGGACCCCAAGCAGGTGCAGGATCACCCCAAGGACAATCGTGGGGGCAGGAGGTACACTGAGGCAGAGCCCCCAGATCCGAAGCAAGAGGGCAGGAGAGGTGGCAGATGGGGCCACAGAGTCAACCCCACCCCTGGGCTTCATCTGGGGTGCACAGTCTACAGGGTGCGCCTCTCTCAGTCACCCCACCCTCCCTCTGTGCCCACAATGCGTGCCGTGCCCCTGACTCTCCTGGGCTGGCCCCGGGCATGGCTGCTGCCTGGGGAAACGGTGATGCCCCATCGGCCCAACTTCCCTGGGGCCTCGGATGATTCACTTTTTCTGGGTCCAAGAAACAGAGGCACAAAGGGGAAGCCTACCCCATGGGGTGGGAGGATGGGGGTGCATGGCTGGGGTGGGGTGACTCGGCCCATATGGTGAACGGAGCCCCTCAAAGCCAAGACTCCCCTAACAGGGAGGTCCAGGCACGGCGGCCGAGCCTCCCACTCCAGCAAGGTCCAGGGAGTGCCAGGCCAGGGCTGGCTGGCCTCAGAGGTCACAGTCGGGTTGAGGTCAAAACAAAAACCCTGCTGGCCTCTGTGGTCGTGGGAGCCGAGCTTCCAGCTGTCGGGATGGGAGCCGCAGGCTGGGGACGCAGGGGTGGCCCTGTCTCTTCCCTGAGCATGGCCCACCCGGAGGGGACACAGCTAACCCTCCTTCTGGACCCATTTCCAAAAGAGAAGATCTCCCAAAGCAACACGATGGGGCACGGCCGGGCAGCAGCCCATCCCGGGGGAAGGGGGCGGCCGTCCCTGCAAAGACACAGCTGGCAGGGCAGGACACCCACTCCCGCAGTGGAACCGGCTGATGGAAGGAAACCGTCGGCCATGAAATCATGGCCTCCTAGCTCCCAAAATGTGGCTGCCGTCCTGGAGAAACCACCGACAATCCAGAGGGCTCCGTGGACCTCACAGAGATTTCTGCCAGGGGCCTGGGGCGGTCAGGCGGCCAGCCCCCACCCCGGCCCAGCTCCCAGACAGGTGGAGACCAGACCCCATGTGTCCCCCACCTGCGCCGGAGGCCCCAACACTGAGCCTTGGTTTCTCCACCTGCACAGTGAGGCCTCCAGGGGGGCTCTTGGTCAGGGGGAGGCTGGGACCAGGGGACACCTGCCCGCCCATCAGCCCCCAGGAAGCCACGGGCCCTGGCTTCAGACCCTTCAGGACAAAAGAAGACCAGGCCCCCCACAGGGGGAGTCCCGGACTGCTCCCCACCCGGCACCACAGCTCCCCCTCTTTTTTGGGTGGGATCGTCCCTGCAGATTTGTGGGCCCGGTCCCAGAGGCCCGTCCTCTTGCCTGCAGGAGCTGCCTCAGTCTCCCCTCTCCAGGGGGGGCCTTTGGGCCCCCGGGATCATGCCCACACCTTGCCCGTCCACACCGGGCCCTGCCACCATCTGCCTAGCAGCACAGCACACCAGCCCCCGCTTCACGGAGGCGGCACTGGGGCACTGGACAGCCAAGCCACTCACCCCAGGTCACGCGAGTTCTCTGAGATTCCCGAATCCGAGCCCAGGCCCCGACAGCCCCCCACACCCACCAGACCTCTCTCTCCAATCCCCCCAAGCCGGGTGGATGAGCTGCTTTCAAACAAAACAAAAACTCTCAAAGCATGGCATCACCCCCTTCAAAGCCAAGTACCCTGGGAGACCCAGCGAGGCCGGCAGGGACTGGGCCACCCGGCACCTCCACCGGGAGATCCTCCCCAGTCGCCATCTTCCTACCCGGTTCTTTGGGAGGGGAACTCGGCTACTGCCACTCAGGGGGCAAGCCTGAGAGGCTGGTTGGGGTAGGCTCCAAGCCCAGAGCCCCCCACCCCAGGCCGGCAGCTCGGGATCTGCTCGGGCTGCAGGTCCCCAATCAGGTGGAGGACCTCAGGGATGGCAGGCAGCCTGTATGGTGGGGGCTCCTGGGACACAGACCCGTACCCCTGCCGGAACCCAGTGGGCTGGGGCGGGGGCTGAGGCCCCGCAGATGTGCACCCCATGCAGACATGCTAGACACACGTGTGCATCACACACACACATATGCCCATGTGCCCCCACACAGCACATACGTTCCACACACAGGCATGCTCCTCCAAATACGGGCACGCATTCCATGCACAATCACGCGGACTCATGAGCACACATGCCAGGGCCAGGGCTGCTATGCACACATGCGTCACCCTACCACCAACACACATGTGCATGCGTGGACGCCTGCGTCTCGCAGACAAGAACCCAGAGTTGCACACAGTGATGTGTGCAGACACACCCTGCAGCCTGCAGCAACACAGCCCAGTACGCAGAGGTGCATGAGCCCTGGGCAGATGCATGGGCCGCCCCACATGAGGACAGCAGCCCCCGGACCCCTGGCCCAGCCCAGCCCAGCCCCACCCACCCAGGGACAGGCCCAGAGACACCCGGTGGCCAGCCCAGGGGTGCCCAGCTCAGGCAGGGGCGGGTTGGACAGCCAGCTGGTGGGGAAGCCTGGCTGGCTGTATGCACCCTACACCAAAGGTGGAGGTGGGTGGGGGGTTCCCAAAGCAACGTCCGCCAGCCGTATGTGGGCAGGAATCCAGTGCACAGCAGGGGAATACAGTTTGGGAAGCAGCCGAGTACTTGCCACCTCGGTACAGGTACCAGGCCCAGCCAGTGAGAGTGGCTGGCCTCATGGCAGCACCTCAGTGCCTGCGGGTCCTCATGAGCACACCCGTGCCCGCAGCTCTTCTCTGCCTGTCTGCCCCCCGGGAGCGTGCCCAGCCCTGCTCTGGCCCCTCCTCACCGTGCCTTTGTGCACCCCTCTGGCAGGCACAGCCTGTTCCCACGTTTCCCCCGTCCCCTGCGTCTGCCAGCTACCAATCTCCGCTTCTACTCCGTCCATGTCTCTCCCAGCCCGGCCTGTCTCTCGTCTCTGCCCATGGGGCTGCCTCATGTTCCAGGCCTGCTCATCCAGCCTGCACCCTTCCCCCCGGGCCGCGGTCCCCAGGACTGTGCACCCCAGGAAATCTCCCCTCCCAGGTGCCCTGAGGCCCTGAGGCCTCACACTGCCCTCCTTTGGTGCCCGACACACACCCAGTCCCCAGGCCCTGGTCCAGCCATCTCTGAACGCCAAGCCTGACGGGTGCCCAGGCGGCCAAGGCTCACGGCAGCTGGTCAGACGAGGGCTGCTGGACCAGCAACAGGAGGTGCCCGAGTGACCAGCACAGCCAGGCACTGGGGAGCCGCCTCCTTCCCCTGGCTGGGATCCTGCCCACAGCCTTTTGGCAGGTGGGGCAGCCCCAGCCACCCCCATCTGTCCCCGTTCGAGGTTCCTTGCGTGTTTGGTTTGCTAGAACAAAGGACAGGCCACGCCGGGGACAGAGATTCTGGAGCTGAAACCGAAAACTCGGGCCGGGGGAGCGCTGCCCGCCGGGAAGAGCCTTCATCAGACCCGCATGTGGCTGGCGGGGCGGGCGTCGCAGGGGACCGGCTCCGCAGAGGCCCGGCGGTCCCTCCGCAGTCGGGGTCTCTTACCCTCGGTCCTGGGGTTGAGCCCACCACCGGGCAACTGAAGGCGGGGTGTGGGCGTGCTCCCTGCCTCCATGGCAGACACTGGCCACCCTTGTCCCAGGGCCTGCCTCAAAGACAGCCCTTTATGCAACTTTCTGCCAGAGGATCCCGGACAGCAGGGGGACTGCGGGGGGATGGCAGGGGACAGGGGGCCCCGGAGGGCAGTGAAAATGGAGAGAAAGTGACCTGAAGTCGAGGGGCAGGGAGTGGGCAGGCCGGTCGCCTCGGCCCCCGTGCGCAGCCCTGCCAGCCCCAGGGACACCGTGTGCCACTGACAGCTGGGACTGACCCCAAAGCGCAGTCTCCCACAGGACCCCCAGCCCACTCTGGCCTTCGAGACTGGGAAACGGCCCAGAGGTTTCTGCTGATGTCCAGAAAGTGGTCAGTCATCAGCAAACTTTTCTCGCTCCAACTAATGGGGGGGCCTCTGCTGCCCCCCCCCAAACTGTGCTCAGTGCGGGCGGGCAGGTGAGCGGGGCACCTTGGCTGGGCGTGGCAGGCTGGGCACCAGGCCCCCTGGGTCCCCCCCCCGGGGCTCTGCTCCACGCACCGTGACCTTGAGCCAGCTGCTCAGCCCCTCTGCGCCTCAGTTTCCCCATCAGCACCAGGACGACGAGAGTGCACGCTGCCCAGTGGCCACTTCTGGGGCTGACCCCAGCCCTTGGTGCCTCGGTCTCCCTGTCCACACAAAGCCAGGACCGGGGAACCCCTGCAGCCCAGGCAGCCAGGTGCAGAAGGGATGCTCCAACTTCCCCAAGTTCATCCGGGGACCCACTGGCAGGACGCGCCCACGGACCCCTTACCCCGGGGACCACAGTCCCCCACCTCGGGGCGCAGCTCAGGGCCAAGATTCCCGGGGATCCCCACCAACTCCAAAGCGGGCGCAGTCCCTGGAGAGTCGCGGCGATCGGGGGTGGGGAGGGACCCTCAGGTCCGGGGACGGGACTTCAGGGCTGCACGGCTTCTGCGGGCGCCGGAGGGGCTCCCCGAACTCCAGAGCGGCGGCGCCCGCGGGCAAGCAGGGAGCGAGTGCCCGGGTCCGCGCGGCAGCGGGGCGCCCGGCGGGCGGGAGGGGGGCGCCGCGCTCACCTGGGGTTGCTGCGGTTCCAGTACACGGCGTAGCGGTCCGAGTTGGCGCGGGCGGCGTCCTCGGCGCGCGCGGGGGGTGGCGGCCGCAGCAGGATTAGGAGCAGAGGCAGCAGCGGGCGGTGCGCGGGCGCCATGGCCCCGGTCCGGCCGCCGCGCTCTCCCGCCGCCGCCAGCCGTCTCCGCCTCCGCCGCCGCGCGGGAGGGAGGAGGGCGCGCCGCGCTTGGAGATCCCGCCGCCCCCGCCTGGGCGCGCGCGACCTCGGGCGCCGAGAAGCCAGGCGGCGGCGGGCGGGGCGGGGGTCGCCCCTGGCGCCTTGCCCCGCCGCGCGGACTTCGGAGCGCGGGCTGCGGCCGCCGCAGCCGCCGGGGAGGGGCCGGGGCTCCGGCCTTTGTCCCGCCCGAGAGCCGGGAGGGCCGCGGGCGCCCCCTCCTGCCGCGCCCCGGCCGCGGGGCTCCTGCGGCCGCCGCACCCCGCCAGCCCGTCCCAGAGCTCGTCGCTGGTCGGGCTGCCTGGTCCCCAGGGTCCTGCCCCGGGCACCTCCAACTCTGCGGGGCCCTGCGGGGTGCCGCACCCCACGAGGGTACCGGCGACGGTCTCTGCATCCATTCAGGCCACCAGCCTCCTACAGAGCCTAGCCCTGTGCGAGGAGCAGGAGACGCCGGCGTCCCCATCTTTCCCGGCGCATTCAAAGCAGACCCCGAAGTGCTACACCAGGCCCGGACAACTCCGTGCCTTCCCATTTGGCCTGGTGAAGAGTTTTGCCAGAGAGGCTGACCAACATCCAAAGTTCCCGTCTGCTAGTGCCTCCCTGGGGGTGCCCAGGGCAACGTCAACTAGCTGGGTCTGCACTTCCGCACCTAAGAAAGGGGACAGGGGTCCTGCGAGCAGCAGGTGCCTGACGTATGCTGAGCCTGAGCAGCTCAGGATGGGACCCCGGCCGACAACAGATAAGTCGGCCCTCAGGATCAGTCCAACGGGGAGAGGAGAATGGGAAGGGCGTTTGGGCGGAGGGCACAGCTTACACAGAGGCCCAGAGCACCTGACCTGTTCATGGAACTCACAGAGTGACCACTGCCCCTGGGGGGCTGGCTGCAGGAAAGGAACTGGGGGCTCTCCCTCCATTTCTGTCCTTGATCACAACACCGCCTCCTTCACCAAACACTGAGTTTATGAGGGTACACTGTCACCAAGTGCCATGCCGGTCACGTCTGGGTCTGTTTCGCTTGCCCAAGCCTACTGCTGGGTCCAGGAACTTCAAAGTCCAGGTGTGAGGCATCACTGAAACTCCCTGCACAACTTCAAGACCAGAGAGTGGTGAAGTGACCTCCACCAAGATGGTAGGGCAGATGGACTCGCCCCAGCCACACACCTCCGATATGCTGTGGGCATGTGCTACGCGTCCCCTGGGCACTTGCTGACCTTTTGCCAGGGCTGTACCAAGCTGGGACCCCTTCCCTTCCCTTCCTGTTAAAATTCTGCTCATCCTTCAAAGCCTGTCCCACCTGGTGCCCCACCACCACCACCACCATGAGGTTCACAGTCCTCTGCCCTCCAGGGAACTCAGCCCATCTATTCTGGGTGTTCTGGCTTCTGGGTCTTGTCCTCTGACCCAGTTGCAGGTACCTCAGTTCCACAGCTGGTCCAGATGGTTCCACGGAGGAGGGTGGGAACCTGCCCCCAGGTGGTGGCCTAGGCAGGCTCAGGAGGCCCAGAATGCCCCAAAGTCACCTGGCAGGGCCTTCAAACAGACTTTGGATGCCCCTAGGGCAAGGGCCTGGTGTCCCAGCAACAGAGGCCTGGCCCAGCCCGGTGTCCTGCCTGGCAAAGGGGGACCTTCTGGAAGCTGTCTCCACCTGAAGAGGAGAATCCCTCCTACTTTACGGGGGCTGGCGGTCGGGGCGGGGGTCTTTTCTGTCAAAGCCAGCAGGACTGGGAGCTGCTGGGGCTGGGGTGAGGGGCCGCCTCGGCGGCCTGGGGCCTGGCCGCTGGGTCGGCTCATTTGCATGCAGGGGCCACCAAAGCGGGAGCCGCCGAGGCAGTGCGGATTTGAGCAGAAGCTCCGTTTTCCTTGTGTTCTCCTCTCTCTCAAGGTCAGAGCCAGAGCAGGGACAGGAACAAAGGCGTGCGTCCCCCACTCAACCTCCCTGCGCCCGGCCCTGCGCCCGGCCACCGCTCCAGAGGAGGGGCCCCGGGGAGAGGAGGGCAGGGTGGGGGTGGGGGCCCAGAAACAGCCACGCTGCTGCTGCTTCTGGGGAACCTCTGCCCAGCAGGGGGCTGATACTGGAGCCCACAGGCCCTGTCCCCTCCAAGGGTGAGTAGTCATCACAGCCTCCAGGGGCAACTGACGGGGTTCAGCTGGGGCCAGGGGTCATCCTGGAGTAAGCTTCCTCTGGGGTCAAGGGTCAGAGATCAGGCTCACTCTGGGCACAGCAGTCACAGTCTGGGATTCGAGGCTCGGGGTCAGGGACCACCCAGGCTGACCCAGGACAAGGTCTCTGATGGGGATCTGTCCCCATCCACCCCGGGGTGCACTCTTGGGCTCAGGGTTCTGCTCCAGACTTGGGGAGGGTCTTTCTCGGCCAGTCCCAGACCTGGCACCCACCCTATCACCCACAGCTGGCTGCTGTCACCCACTACGCCAGCCCGCAGGGCGAATCCCCAGGCTGGGGAATGAGTGTCCAGCGCCCTTGTCTTCAAAGGCCACAGTGCCTTGGAGGAAGCTAAAAATATGCAGGGAGAAATTTCTCATTACAGAATAAATTGGACCAAATCCACTGCCTGCTCTACCTCTAGTGGTTTTCAGAAGCCCCACTCAGCCAGGCGGGGATCCGCGGGGCGGGGGAGGGGTCTCTGGGGAGGGTGGGGCCTTTGGTAGGCCGGCAGCTCCACTGACCCTGCTCAGACCGGAGTCTGCAGCCACAGGAGAGGACACAGGAGACAGCACGATCCTGGCTGGCACCTGGTGGGGGGTGGGGTCAAGGAGAGTCCCAGGGCGGCAGCTTGTCCTCATTGCAAATAACAGCATATTCCTGGTAAATTAAAATTCCCTCCCCCAAGGTCAGTGTCCAGCCAGGCCCTTGACATCTCAGCCTGGGCCTGCAGCCCCGACACACCCTCTCCCTCTTTGCCTTCTCCCCTCCTCCCCTCCCGCCTCCCACCTTCCTGCCACCCTCCCAGCCCTAGGGCCTGGACACAGACCCCAACCTCCCACTGCAACCACTCACCGCTGTCCAAAAACATTCCAGACTAGGGCTATCCAATACGGGTGCTGCCTCCCCTTGGCTACTGGACACATGAACATGGCCAGGATGAGGGACAAGACTTTTAATTCCACTTACCTATGATTAATGCAAACGTAAAATAGCCACGTGGCTGCCGTACTGGGCAGCCCAGCTCTGGGCACTGGATGGCAACCCCTATACAGGACCAGGACACTTGAGGGCTGGGTTAACGGGTGGTGACTCAGGCCCCAGGGAGGACGAGATGGGGTGCCCAGCGGCTGAGGCACAGCACAGTGGCCCCACCTGCCAATCCCAGGTGAGCACCCACATCAGAACCAGTCAGGAGAACCCCAACTCCCAGGAACACGCCTCACCTCCACCACTCTGCTGGTGGCAGCCAGGCCACGAGCAGCCACTGTAATGAGCCCAAGGTGTCCAGCTTCACCACCCCTCTCACCTGTCCCTGTTTCCCTGGTGGAGAACTGAGGCCTGTGGCCGGGACCCTGCGTCCCAGCCAGTCGCTCAGACCTGGAGACACCTATTTGGTTTGCTGTGTCAGATGGGCACATGGAGGAGAGGCCTCAAGGGGGCCTGGCCGGGGTCTGTGCACCCCCACCTGGCAAAGGTCAGGCAGGCAACACCCGTGTGTATGCATGTGTGTGCTTGTCATGTCCATCCTGCATGTGTGGCAGTCTGTGTCGCATGTCCCTGTACCTGCTTGTGAGTACATGAAGGGGAGGAAGGTGCTGGCAGGCCCACCCACACTGGTGAGCATGCACACGTGGGCTTGCGAGCAGCTGGCCCTGAGCCTTTCATCTCACGCTGACAGGCCCTCTCTCGGCTTTTAGCCACCGAGAACTTCCTGCTAATAGTGCATTAACCTTGGCGGGAGCTGCCAATTACTCAACACTAATGCCGGGGGCGTGTAGGGGGGAGATGCTGATGGGCGCTGACAGGCACAGGGTCCGGGCGCCCAGACGGGAGTGCGCAGAAGGCTGCAGGGCTGGGGCGGGCACGCGGTGTGCTCTCAGCTCCGGATGGCAGAGCGCGGGGTCTCTCCTGACCTCATTACAGTAATTAATGTGTCTTTTGAAGCTGGAGAAAGCGCTCAGAGCTGTGGGAAAGGGGAGCAGATCACAGGGTGGGGGGGTGCAGGGACGGTGCCTGAACGCCTGTTAAAAGCGTGTCCCAGTGGGTCAGACTCAGAGACGAAGAGACAGGCAGAAACAGAGGGAGACCAGGTGAGAGGCGGTGCAGATGGAGGGGGCCATAAACAGGGAGGCAGAGGATGGGGGGGACACTCAGACTTGGAGAGAGGGTCACAGAGACAAAGAGAGGCTGGTGGCGGGGAGCATGGCAGGAGCAGAGCCCAAGGGGCAGGGACTGCCATCGCCAAGCCTCCAGGGGCCTTCTTCAACCTTCCCTGGAAGACACACTGGCACCCCAGTGCCAGACCCTACAAAAGAATGGAGGAAGTCAGGGAAGACTTCTTGGAGGCAGCAGCTGGGCACTATAGGGGGAGAGGAGTGTCAGCCAATTAGGGAGTGATAACAGACATCCCAATAAAGCCAACTGGGGTCCGATGCAGAGAGGTGACTAGCTGGCTGTGGCAGAGACAGCTTCTTGCACCCTGGCAGTCACCTGGCAGGGAGGGGGATCTGCTCCAGGGGCCAAAAGGTCCCAAGAAGCAGTGGGCTTGGCCCATCCACGATGGATGTGGAAACAAGCTGGGGCTCAGGGAAGTGTGGGAAACAGCCTCCAACTAGACCTGAGCAAGGGTTTGGCTGGTGAGGAGTCCCCAGCCACACCTGGGGCCCGCGCGCGCGCAGAGGGTGGGTGGCGCAAGGCTGCCACCTAGCGGCGGCTCTTCCGTTGACACACTATGGTGGCTCGGGCCAGAGGCCTGCCTGGGGTGGGGAACCCCAGGCTTCAGGAGGCCACAAGCCAGACCCTGCCCTGACTCTCCAGAACCAAACTTACTGGGGGCAGGGGACAAGCCAAAGCTGGAATTGCCCAGAAACGGCACCTTGCTGGGAAAATAAGGCCCAGGAGGAACCATCAAACCTCTCACCTGGGATGGGGGTCAGGTGCCTGGGACTGGGCTATAGTGTCCCCATGGGGCTGAGGTGCCCCGACGGTGGTTCAGGTTCACCAGTGAGTCCACAGTAGGCTGAGAGGGGAGAGCACGGTGGGCACAGGGGTCCTCAAGCTGCAGGAAGCTCCAGTTCCTTTATAATAACCCGCCACAAAGGTGCTTGTCGGGTGAAGTGGGGACCCCAGAAAGTTTCCCTTGAGGAGACCCAGGCTGAAGGCAACACCCAGAAGGGAGCCCTTATCAGGCCTTGGGCGGGTGTCCAGGCAGATGACTGGCAGGCCTTTCTCAAGGCAAGTCCCCCTGTCTACCTTGCAGGACCCTCTGGGCCACTGTGGGTGAGGCCAGAGAAACCCACCTTGTCACAGATAGGAGCACCGGGGCCGAACGGACCCCACCCGCCACCCCCTCTCCCTCCCCCGGGAGCCAGGATGCCGGTCTGGCTCAGTGTGGCGTTCAGTACCAATCACAGAGCCACTGCTGCCTTTATTGTGCCCAGCCCAGTGCCAGTGGGAAGGCACTCTCAGACAAGGCCGTCAGCCCCCCACCCCCTAGGCCTCAGCTAGGGGTGGTGAAGGAAGGCAATAGGAACAAATCACAGTCCAGACAGGGTGCCTCGGGGTCCACGCTCTCCCCATCTGGCCCCGAGCATTCTGGGCTGGGCGGTCCTGTCTGGGTAGAGGGCCAAGGTGGCTTCACAGGCTGGGAAGGTCCCACACGAGCTCTCAGGGCAATCTGGCACAAGAATCAGAGGGTGTGCAGGCACTGGGAGCAGGCTGTCTCTGTCCTTTCCCCGGGGCCACTGTAAACACAGCCTCTCTGGCCTGAGCATCTGAAACGTGAGGGTTGGGGGTGAGAAACACCGTGCCTGCGGCTCACCCTCCAAGTGGTGAGCAGGGCCCTTTAGCCTGCCCAGCCCCTGCCCCGGAATCCGCAGTCCACCTTCTGCAGACTGCAGGCCGAGCCGTTGTCTGCCTGGTGCACAGGGGGTCCACCAGCAAGGGACGGTGGAAGAGATGTCCCTCGGGGGATGTGGAGTCACAAGCACCCCTAGTCTCACTCCTGTGCACCCCAAGGGGTATTCACTCCCTGCTCAAGCCCCGTGGTGACCCCTGGGTCGCCTCAGTCCAGCATTCCCTTCTAAGCCCCCGATGCTCATGCCCGGGCTGGACACAGGTCATCCCCCCGCCACACCCCCAGGCAGCCCTTGTAGGTAATTCTTCCTTTCCGCGGTGAGTCTTGGCCTCGTGGTCAGGCCCACAGCAGCGGCCCACCGGCTAAAGTGCTCACCCTGTCCCCCTCCTAAGGAAATGGGAAACCAGGGCTGGGGCGGGGGGGCGGACACGCCTTGCCCACAGCCACACGGGTGCGACTGCAAAGCCAGGGCTCCAGGCCCGCCTCTCCACGTGTGCAGTGATGACCCCAGTGACCTCCAGGGTCGGCTCACCGCACCCCCAAACCCCAAGCCCGGCCCGCTGGAGGTGGGGGAAGGGCTGCGCTACCATCTCAGATTCCTCGTCTCAAACACTGTCCCCTCGTCGCTGTCCAGTGAGGCCATCTCTGTGGGGTCCTCGGTGTTGGCGAGGAGGCCGTATCTCCTCCGCTGTGGCTTCTTCAACCTGCAAGCAGGCCCCGGCGGGCCCAGCAGCCGTCTCAGGGCACCTCCCGGGGGCAGGTGACACCCGCCCCGCCCCTCCCCACGCCCCCACCTCCCGTTGCAGCGGCCCGCGGCCTGCTCGGCCCAAGCCCACGGCCCTCTGTGGAGCTGCCTGGTGTAGCTGCGCCTTCTACAGTGACCACCAGTTCCACAGTGACCACCAGTACTGGCGCCTTTACGTCCTGACAGAGGGCGAAGAGAGGCCGCTGGGCCAGGACTCCTCAGGGGGACACCGCCATCCCACTCCACGGGGGTCTCAGAAGGGGGTGGGGATTTGGCCCTCTGAGGAGTGAGGGCCAAACCGGCAGCAGCCCCACGAAAGGGAGGACCTCGGCCACCGGAGGCCCCGGGGCGCCAGGCCGGACGCGGCCCACTGCGTGTAACCGAGGCCCCGGGGCGGCCCCGGGGCAGCCCCGGCGCAGGTGGGCGGGAGAACTGGTCACAGCCCTGCCCGGCCGACCGCTGACGCTTTCCGGACGGTGGAGTTGAGCGATAACTAGAACAAGGCGCCGTCGCTCCGCCGGAGCCGGGCCCGGATCCCGGCGGCCAGCCCCTCAGCACGCGAGCAGCGGGCCGTCACGTGGCAGCGCCCGCCCCGCCCCCATCACGTGAGGCGCGCCGCGCGCGCTCACTGGCCTCGCCAGGACGGCGGCGTGCGCCTGACACACCTGAATGCCCGGATGAGGAAGTACAGCAGCGACAGGCCAACGAGGCCCATGAGTACGTAGAAGGAGCGCAGAAGCGGCGAGCCCGAGGAGCCCGGCAGCCGCGGGTGCGTGCCATTGTGCGTCGCACCCGGCTGGCTCCCGTTCGTCACGGCGGGCAGTGGCGAATACGTGTCCTCCGAGGGGAGCAGCGGCGTGAGCGCGGCCGCCTCGGCTCCGCGGAGAAGAGCTAGCAGTAGTAGCAGCGGCAGCGGCAGCGGCAACACGCGCGGCCCCATAGCCGGGCGGAAGCGTTGCCTGCCCCGCCCCGTGGGCAGCTGTCACTCGCCGCGCGGGGTGCTGCCAACCAGTAGCATGCGGAGGTGGGGCCTAGTACCCGGAAGCGCCCGGCCCTCGCCGCTACCTCGCTTCACCCCGGGCGTTTCCCGCAGTGCTCCGCGCCCCGCCGGCTGTGTTCGCACCGTACCGCCGCCCCCAGTCCCGAGCCTCTTTCCCCATGGCCCGCAGCAAAGGGCCATCGCCATCAAGCGCGGTGCGCCGGAGGGGCGGGCCAGAAAGGCCAGCCACGCAGTGGGCGGAGAAGAAGGGGGTCAGGCCCCTTGCCTGGAGAGCCGGGTCACCCAGCACCAGCAGTCAGTCCAGGAGCAGGCCCAATGGCACCGGAGTGTCCGTGCCAAGGCTTCAGGGGCCCTGGGAGACCCAGTGCCCAGCGTCCCCTCCGACCCTGAGAAATGCCTGAGGGGACAATGAAGTGACCCGCTGGTCTTGTTCCAGGGGCTCTCTCTACTGGACTCCACCCCCAGCCCCCTCAGAGCCTGCCCTCCACGGCCACTCCCCAAACCAGACTCAGGTTTCCGGGTGGACATAAGAGCCCTTTATTTAAATCAGGCTTCCACATTGTGCCACACACTGTCCCTGGCTAGGAGCCACCACACACCGTCTTGGCGCGACTTGAAGCCCGGCACCTCAACCTCGCCAATGAAGCACCTGTTGGGAAAGAGGGATGCTGTAGGAGGGATGCTGACCCTTCACACACCCCCACCCCAGGTCACAGTTGGGTGGGAGATCAATAAAGGGCCCAGCGGCGGGGCCACAGGGATGCATGTCACCCACGCCAAGAAAAACTTACAGGTGACAGGCCGCACAAGACAGCTGTGCCTCTGGCTCTTGCTCCCAGGTGAAGTTCCCCCTGGGATGGTGACCCCAGGTCATCGCTGCTCTCAGGCCAGCCTTCCAAGTGGCACCAGCTTCCTTTCAACCTGCCAAAGCAAAGGAGGGTTACCCCTGTAGTCCTAACCGCAACTCACAGCTGCCCCACCCTGCCTCCCCGAAACCATCCACAGCTCCTAGGAGGGTCTCAAGCTAGTCCTTGGGCCATCCTGATGGAGGCCCCATCATGGCCAGCAGGCCCAGGGCAGTCCTGCACCTTCAGACGGGCCAGGCCATGTGCCGCCCTTAAGCACAGCCAGCTACCCACTTGGGACGGAGCTGCTTAGAGAAGGCGTGGGCTCTGGGAAATCTCAGGGTGGCAGCAGACATCAGAGAAAGCTAGTTAGGAGCCTGACTCCAGGAGGTCTGGAAAACACTGTCAATTGATGAACAAAATATCCAAAAGGCAGGGCACTCAGTGGTCTCCAATCCTGCTTATGGATCAAACCTACTCAGAAGCACAACTGCCCGGGCCGCTTGCCCAGCCGCAGGCAGGGAGGGCAGATGGCCGGGGCCTGACTTTTAATTATAGCTTGACTTAAAAAGAAAAAAAAAAAATGGAAAAGCAAAAACCAGTCGAAGGAGCACTCCCCAGGTACGTTACTTTACTCCAAATGAGCTCTCGACAAGAGGGGGGATGCGGACATGAGCAAAAGGAGTTACCTCGAATTACAGGGCTATTTCCACATATGAGCTAGCCAAGGGAGCAGCTCGCGTCTCAGAGGTTCTGTTGGGCGCACAACACTTCTGTCCTCCGAGGCTGCAGCTTCCATAGGCTAGCAGAGAACGCTCAGAACTCGTAAAGCAACGGCAGAGCTAGCTAGTGGCCCGTCAGCCTGTGGTCGCCCAGGGACACTACCTGCCACCACTCTGGCTGCCTCTCAACTAAGGCTGTCCTGTCAGCGTCACGTGCCCAGTGTCCACCGTCCCTGCTCGGCTGCCCGCCCCGCCGAGCCCTCTGGCTGCCACTGCCAGAAGCCTCTGGGCTGCCCTGAGGTCCAGGGCTGCCCGCTCCCGTCACCCAACTGCTCACCTAACTGGACCGGTGGCTGTCAGCTGTCACCAGGGGCCCGGCCAGCGTCAGTTTACTCTGCCCTCCTCGTCTAGCTCTCCGCAGGCCAGGCAGGATTTGCAGACCTACTCAAACTGCCCTCTGCTCAGGCCTGCTGCGTGAGCCCGCAGCAGGAGTGTGTTGTGTAATGAAAGGGAAATTGTCAGAGCAAGGTTCATTTCAGACGGTCTTTTAATCGGCTTCGTAAAGCCAAAAAAACTGTGTACAAGAATTCCTTAACCACTTCAAATACAACATCAATGGGGTATGCAATACGTCTTCCAGTAAAAAAGGACAATATAAATAAACATTTTTAAGAACCTCTCGGGGTACGTCTGCAAGTCTACTGTGGGTCATACACAGCACAGAAGGGCCAGACAGGCTGGGCCCAGGGCAGCCAGGCACCTGTGCTGTTGCCTGGGAAGGGTCCTACCACGCTACGCTCAGAAACGTTACACGAGTGGGAAAAAGCCACAGCTTGCTCAGCTTCCGACAAAGAGCGGATTCAGACTCCGTTCGGTCTCAAAGGTAAGTTAAATCAGGGCACCCAACTTCACGGGGCCAACCCCACTAAAAAGATAACAAAAATGGCAACACAACCAAAAACAAAATTGAAGCCCACACAACCCCCAACTAGTTTCTAAAAATCTTATGGCTCACGGTAAAACGAAAAAAGGAAAATCTGAAGTGCTTTTCAAAACGTTTTTAAAACCCTTAAAAACGTACAGCACTGCCTTAAAAGTAAGTGTCTGATAATGAGGCCATCTGGGGGTCAGAAGCAGTCAGGCTGTGTTTGACAAGATCAGAACCGATAAGACTACAAAAGTGGGGTACAAGGAGGTGTGTTCACTACACATTAACGATTCAGCGAAGCTCCCAAAATCTTTAAATATACAGCCATTGGAAGGACGATCTTGAGCAGGAAGGATTTTTACTCGTTGTGTGTAGCTGAGAACAAGAAGCAGGTACAGTGTAAAGGCACTGAAGCACGCAACAAGATGCAGCATCCACTCCCGGGTCCAGACTGGAGGGCTCGGCCCTGCGGCCTCGGGAGCAACCAACCCCCCCAGAGCCAGGGCGGCCGGGCGGGGGGCCGCACATGCACTTTGCTGCCTGCCCGACGGGCCCCTCGCTCTGCCTCTCCTTGGTCAATCTGACTGTGCCTTTACGATTTGTGTTAGAGAAGAGCTGCTGGCACTGAGACCCAAGGGCGGTTCGCCCCTTACGAGCAAGCACAGTAACAAGGTCTGCGTGCCACTTGCAGAGGGCGCCAAGGCTTACTGAGCTCCCACCGCAGGCCCCGGCAGCGTGGCGCCCTCGGAGCGGGGCTTACCGTAACTGTCGTAGCTGTCTCTGTAGGACCCGCCCGAGCTCCGGTCACCGTAGCCACCACCCTGACTCCGGCTGCAGGAAGGACACATGTGAGTGCTGGAAGGTCCCTCACCAGCCCTTTGGCGAGTGCCCAGTCAGAGGCCCCCCCCAAATACCCTCACCTGCTGTAGTAATCTCTGGAACCTCCATAGCCTCCGCTCCTGGATTCGAACCGGCTCCCCCCGTAGCCTCGGTCCCCCCCTCCTGCAGACAAGGACAGCAAGAAGTGGGTGCCAGCTCCTGCCAGCAGTGCCCCTACCACGTTCCTGAGAACCTCAGGCCAAGCACAGCACTCACCTCTAGAGAACCCACGGCCCCGGCCTCGGCCCCCTCGGAAGAAGCCCCGGCCCCCGGCAGAGCCACCTCGGTACCCACGGGATCGGTTGTCAGATGACTTGCCAGCCTGGTCAACTCGGATCTGTCGCCCATCCACAGACTAGAGAAAAGGGTGATACAGGTTAGCTCTGTGCCTCCTGACCCTGGATCCGGATCCATCAGACGCTCAGGACAGCCACCACTCACCTTCCCATTCATGGCCATCATGGCATCTTTGGCATCATCGATGTTCTCAAAGGTGACAAACCCAAAGCCCCGCGATCGCTGGGTCTCCCTGTCTTTTACCACCACCACTGTGCAGGGAGAGAGATCCAGGAAGTCAGCACCCAGGCCTCCCAGAGGGGCCCGCTAAGCCGCCGCCCAGCAGCAGCCTCACCTTCAGAAATCTGTCCGTATTTTGAGAAGACCTGCTCCAGGGACTGCTCGTTGGTGTCAAAACTCAGCCCTCCAACGAAAAGCTTGCCTTCATCCGATGCCATGGCGGCCTACAGAAAAGACTGTTGAAACCCCTCCCTGGGATGCTCCCCAGCTTCACTGCCCGCCCGCCCACACCCTCCTGTCTTTACAAACAACGGGCACTCGCTGAGAAAACACTGGAGTTATCTTCCTGCCCTTCAATCATCCCAAACCACACCCAGGACTTCTAAATTCAAGCGAACCCGTCACCCTTTTCCCGTGTTTAGCCCAGCTCCGCGCCCCGAGACTCCCTGAAGGCTGGGGCCACACCCCAAGCCTAGAGCGCTCCTCCCTCCTCGGCCCTGTTCGGCTTCAGCCAGGCTGACGGCGGAGGGGCGACTGACGAAGGCGGCGGCTTCCACTGTCACCGGCCGAGCTAGCCTCAGAAGCTCCCCTTTGCTAACAAGACGCTAACTCCTAGCCTGACCATTGTGGTGCGGCGTGGCAAAGTGCTTGGTCCACTGTAGGGCGCCCCTGAGGGCCAGCTAGGAGCTGAGGGCGGGTGGAGGCCAAGGCCTCTGGCCCGCGGGGGCTCCACTGCCGAGCCCAGGTAGGCGGGTACTGACTCAAACCGACCCCCTAACAGGCTGGGGGAGCTGCCGCCTAGAGGCTCCAGGGACACAGGCCAGAGAACGATGGAGCCGCACGACTTCGATCCACACTTGGGGTACGGGAGTGGACACCGGACTTGCGCTCCCTTGGAGCACCAACGGGAAACCTAAGCAGCGGGGCCCGGTCCCGCCACGTGGTCCCGCCCCCCCCACCGCGCGCATGCGCCTCGAGCGCGCCCTGCGCCACTCCATCCGGGTACTCTGCACTCCCGCCATTTCGCTGAGCGCAATTCGCGCTCGCGGCCGCCATTTTGCGGCGGCGCCCCGCTCGCAGCGGGCCTGGCCTAAGGCAAGGGAAGCCTTCCGGCCGCGGTTCAGCCCGGTCTCCCGCCGCCCCTCGCCGCCAGCGGAGCGGACTCCACCCCGGGCCCGCCCCGGCGCCGTCCCCGCCCAGGGGCGTGCCGCCGCCGCCCCGTGTCGTCCGGCCGGCCGTAAGCCGCCTATCACCCCGGGCCCGCGGAGCCGGTACCGCCAGGGCCCTCACCACTGAGTCGGGCAGGTCCCTGACGAACGCGGGTAGACGGAACAGCACAACGACCCAAGCCTCCTAACGCGAGAGTGAAGGGGGCGCCCCGCACCCGGCCTTAAATACGCCGCCACCGGGACCCGCCCTTAATCCCGCCCCCGGCACTGCGCCGGCCAATTAGAGGCCACGAGATCCGCCGGTGTGCCTCATATTCATGAGCTGGGGGCTGGACCTGTCCCTGCCCCGCCCACGCCGCGCGCGGGCGCCGAGCGCGGTGATTGACGGGGACGCGCACGGTCCGCAATCCTCCGCTCTCGGCCAGGGGGCGGGGCCGGGGCGGGGCGGGGCTGACCCACTTCCGCGTGTCAGACCCCGGCCTGTGGCGTTGAACAAAGGGACGTTCGTCCGCTGCTACCGGGGGTCGGAGCTTTGTGGGGACCCCTAGTAGCGCGTGGACCCCAACCTTCGCTGTGCTCCATCAATCGCCGATATAGCGACCCTACCCAAGTCCCCATACCCACCCGAACTGCAGCTCTTAGACACACCAACCTTATCTGAACCCCAACGTCGGATCTGATACACTTGCCAACCTGACCGACACAGCATTGCTTCAGGGACGCCAGCGCTCCTGAATACAACGTTTCACGTGGCCAGCCTTGAAGCCCACACAAATGCCAATATATAAGCAACCCCACTTACGTGGACCCCAATATTTGCCAACTACTTCGTAACTTTGGGGCGTCCCAACTTCACCCAACCCAGTCTGCCGGCAAACTCCATCCTGCACCCACACCTAACTCCCAGCTCTGATTCCCCCACCTGGTGCCGCACACACACCTTAACACACCTGGCCAGGCACTTGGAGGCATCCCAGCTCTAGATGGCAGGATGACACCCCTGGGCTCCCCAGCCTCCAGTCTGCACTGCACCCCAACATTAAGCCTTGCCTCCACCACATGCACCATCTCCCAGCCAGCACACAGTTCTGCACACCCAGAACCCACTCACTGCCTTGTGCTGTGCCCTCCACCCTCTCTACCCAACCCCCTACCAGTATTTCCTGTCTGAGGGTCCCAGGACCTCTGCTATCAGGAGAACGAACTTTGTAGTGATCCTCACTCCCAAGGCTGCTCCTTGGGAGACTCAAGACCGCTTTATTGGAGCACTTCTTGTGGTCACCATTTGCCCCCCGCCCAGGTCTCACTCATGCTGGGCCCTGGACCCCACCATGGGGTGGAAGAAAACTACTGTGGACCCCAATTGCCCAGACCAGAGGCCCAAGCTACAGCCCTGCTCTAGAGAGACTTCAAGGGATAGATCCTCTGCAGAAGAACCTCATTTTGCTGCCCACCCCAGGCCTTAGACTTGCTCCCACCATTAGCTGGGTCCAGGTGATGCAGCAGGGGATGTGGGCAGGGACACTGTCTCCCGTGGCAAAATCCCTGGGACCCCCTCCTCGGCTCAGGAACCCTGCTCCCAGGCAGTAGCTCATGACTCATTGCCACCCCCTCTGCACCTCATCCCCCCCACGCCACATTCCCCCCCCCCACAAGTCCCCGTCAGCAGGAGCCTGCTGCTGCGTCAGCCACTCACGCAAGGCAGTTATTAAAAGGAGCAGAGCCATCAGCGCTCACCCTCCCGCCCCCACCCGTGGGGGACCTGGAGCCAGGCTTGCCCGGCCAGGTGTAATTCCCCTCCCCTTTCTGATCTGCTGCCCTAGCAAGGTCAGGTCAGCGGCTCCTTGCCCCTGCACAGGCAGGGGTCCCTGCGGTCACGGTGGCCGGGATCACTGCTCCACGCCGGTCCCCAAGCTTCTGCAGTGCTGAGTACTCCTCCTCCTGGTTTTGTGAAGTGCCCTCGCTCATTCATTCATTCGTTCCGCCAGCACACAGCTATTAAGCGTCTACTACTAGCCTATTATTGGGCTCCATGTGCACCCACGACTGTCCTGCGTTCCCATAACGCGGTGGACCCATACCTGTAAATACTGTCCACCAGGTGCGCCCGCGGCGGGCATTGTGTGGGGACTGTGTGCTTGCCGTCTCAGGTGTTACCCACCTCCGTACCTGTGTTTCTGTGGTTACCTGCGTCTGCGTGTCCCTGTGACTCGGTGTGTAACCAGGACTATGTGTCCCTGTTGGGGGGGCTCTTAAGGGTCTGGGACCACCTTCATCCCTGCCGCGGTCGCTCGGTCACTCTCTCCCCACGAACACGAGGGGGCGCTGCGGCCTCGCCGTCACCCCGGGGGCTTCGGGTCCCGCCCCACCATGGGACAGCGCGCCCGGGCGTGGGAGGGGGTCCTCGGGCCGCCCCCGCGCTGGGGAGCATAGCCGGGGAGGAGGTGGCTCAAAATAGCCGCGAGCTGGGGCGAGGCTGGTATTCGTGGCGGGACCCGTGGTGCTCGCCGCCTGCCCGGCGGGAACCGAGATTACGACGGAGGTCCCCGGCGACCGCCGCCCCGCCTCTGTACACCCCCTGCTACCCCACGGGCCCCGCCCCACCGCGCCGACGTAGCCATGGAGACGGGGAGTGGCCGCCTCGCTCCCGCAACGCCCCTCACCCTCCCCGCGGGCCGGACCGGTCCGCCGGACGCCGGTTCCTCCCCCGACCGGGGCTAATGACCGGGCGGGAGGCGGTAATGAGCGTCTGGGCCCCGGTCGGGCGTGGCCGGGATGAAAGGTGTGTGTGGGGGGGTACCCCGGGGCCTCGTAATTAACGCCCCCTCCCGGCCTGCCTGGCGGGGGCGGGGGCGGGGCCCTTGCACCTGGCGGCCACCCGGCGGGGGCGCGGAAGTGGAACCGTTCTGGCGGTGGCTGCAGCCCGCCCGCCTGGCCCTAATCCGCGGGGCCCAGAGCCAGGGTGGGGGAAGCGGAGTCTGGATATGTGCGCGTTGCCAGGTGTGGTGCACATGTGTGCCTGTGGGCAGGGCAGTCGTTGGGTACAGAGACGGAGAAGCAAGGATCCCTGGGTACGGTGCTTGTGTGGACACGAAAGTGGGGCTGTGTCCGTGTGCGCAGGGGTGTGGAAGTGTGTGCAAGTACCTGGAGACGTGCCTGCGTGCGCAAACATGGGAGCGTGTCTGCACAGTGGCCCACGTGCAAGAACCTGGGTGGTTTGAGGACCCCAAAGTATTTGCAGAACCTGGCCATGGATGTGGAAACAGCCGTGGACAAGGCTGGCTGTGCGTGACTGTGGAGCTGGGACTCACAGAGCATATGTGCCCATGGCTGTAGCGTGACTCATCACCCTGGGGTGGGCACGAGGGCTGTGTCTGCAGCACCTGGGCCTCTTAGGGCAGAGAGCACCAGGAGGCCAGAAGCCAGGAGGAGGAGTTAAAGTTAAGCAGCTCCCCCCGCCCCAGTTTCCACCTGCACAAGGAAGAGGAGAGAGGGACTTCTGAGGTCCCTAGAAGGGGCCTAGGTGGCAGCCAACGGTGAACACAGGAGATTCAGCTGCCTGCCACAAAGAGCAGCCAGACGAAGCTGTGCCCTGGCTTGTTTCCCTTCTGCTCCCAAAATGGGGTCTCCACAGTGGAGGAGGGCATGCACAACAGGGCAGGGGGGCACCTGGCCGAGTTCCCTGTGACTCACAGCCCAGGAATGTGGAGGCTGCCATCCTTCTACGCCTGCCCAGGCCCCCATCCCAGGAGGGCAAAGGCCAGGCAGTGCGTGGGGTGTGCTGGTTATTGTCATCCGCACCAACTGCGTGCACTTAGTGTTGGCTGCAGGGCAGGCCCCAGGGCACACTCTGGAACACGCATGTTGTGTACTTGTGGCCCACCTGTGCTAGGATAGACTGTGGGAGCCCCATGCACTCAAGTCATACTCTATCCATATTCATGATGCTCCAAAGACACCTGGATGGTAACCCTTTCTACTGAAGGAAACTGAGGCACTGTCGGGGTGGCAGATGCACACAGACAAGCTCACGCCAAGAACACACATTCATGCATATGGCATATTATCAGGCATCTGTGAAATGCCAGAAATTGCCATGTCGACACCCCTGCGTGCCCATGAAAACACCAAGGTTTATGGGGGAGGGGGATGGATGCATCCAACCCACTGGGTTTCTGAGGTCCACAACCCCAAACCCAGGGACAGAAGGTCACTTACTTGACCTTGGTCCCACACGCAGGCACAAAGAAGAGCAGAAGGACTCTTGCCTGGGTCTTGTGGCAGCTCCATGGCAACGCCAGAGTAGCACAAATGGATACTGCTGCCTCCCAGGCAGCTGCTCTCAGGGGCTCAGGGCCCGCAGCGCCCAGTCCCCACTCTGGGCCTCAGTTGCCTCCTCTGAGAAGTGGGCACGGCGGCAGGGGTTCCCGGATCAGTGCAGTGTCAGGCAGCCGGGGACGAGAGCAAGCCATGCAGGCACCACTGGGCCTTCTTGGCCTTCTGATGCAACAGGACACCCACACTTGTGAGGAAGCACCCTCCCCCCGGCACGCTCTGCTCCGGTGGGCCTACAGCCATGCAGGCCTTGGTGGTGGGTGCGTGGGCAGTGTCTGCGGCTGGAGTGGCAGGGTGTGCTTGGTGGAGGGTGCTGCCTTGGGTGAGCACTGTGTCTCTGAAGCCCTGAGTACAGGCTGCCTGGTGTGACTTTTGATTTTGTGGTTTTCTTAAGGGAGGTCTTGGCCCAGGGTGAGTGGAATGTTGTCGTTTCGAGGGTCACACCATTGACTTGAGGTCGCAGTGGTGCCAAAGTGTGCACTGGGACCAGTTTGGGGTGGGGGGGGGGCATGTTGCAGAGCTAGAGCCTGGCACCCAGCTGGGGTCAGTATCTACCCCTGACGTTCAAGGGATACGCTGTGCTGAGTGTTGGGGGAGCTGTAAGGGGCCCTGTACGGGGTGTGCAGTTTCTCCCGGAGGCCTCTGGGTAGAGTCTGGGGTGGGGTTGTACGAAGCGCAGTTGTGGCCAGCTGCCTCAGCCCTCAGCCCGGCCTACATTCCAGAGGCACTGGTGGGGGGGTTGCCCTCCCTGACCTCTGACCCAGCCTGAGCCCACCCCCTCCATCCTGGGCACCAAACGCTGTGGCAGCTGGCTCCAGGGAGGGGTGGCCAGGCGGGGGCGGAAGCTGGAATGTGTGCCGGGGGTGAGGGAGGGGGCAGAAGTGGGGGCGGGGCGGTGGGACCAGCCCCAGACGAGAATAGAGTGGGCAGCCAGGCCCGGAAAGCAAAGGGCACTGAGGGGCAGAGGCCCCTCGGGAGGGCAGGGCCCAGGTGACAGCGCCTGCCCCCATTCTCATCTATTAGCTCACCTGAAATGAGTGACACCAGAGGCTGCCTGTCCTCTGTCCTCTCAGGGCTGGGCAGCCCGTGGGTGGGGCTGGAGTCGACTCCTGGGTTGGGCCCAGCGCCCTTGACCACGGCTTGGTTAACTCCCATTCCCAAGGTCCCTGCAGAGGAGGGCTGCCTGCCAGGTCCAGTGCTGGCCCCAGTGGACCATGTCCCCCCACCGGATGGCTCCTGGACAAGTGCCTGTCTCCTCCCACAGCTCCCCCCAGGCCCCGGCTTCTGGCATTTCAAAACTCTGGAAGCAGCCCCAGTTACCCATTTGGCCACCCCCAGGGGCCTCTGCCCTCAAGCATAAAGTCTTGATCCCAGTGACCTTCTGCCCACTCTCTGGGACCTCATCTCCTCGGCAGCACTGCCCACCTGGACCCAAGCCTCCAGTCCACCACGCCCTGGCAGCCACACCTGTTCACATTGCCAGCCCCAACCCTCGGTTCAGTCTTGCGCCCACCCTCTGCCCAGGCTGGGGCTAATCTTGGATTAGCAGTTTTGGCCCATATCCTCCCCAACTGGCAAAGCGCACCTCTGTTCACGCTGACCACTGCCTTCTGAGTGGTTTCGTGGTCACCACGGTGTAGCCCACAGCCAGGATGCAATGTGGAGTTCCTGGAGCCCTAACCTTTCCTCCCAGGGCTGGGACTCTCCTGCTCCTGGCCCAGAGGCTAGCCAGGTATTGGGTGCTCTTTCTCTCTTCCCCCTGGGGCTCCACCTCGCAGGAACTGGAGGTCACCTGGAGACAGAGCTCCATCTGTCCCCGCTCTGCCCAGGCCCAGCCGTCCAGCCGTCTCGCTGCCTTCCAAATGTTGTGGCTTGCGCTCTCAACATCTGCTTCTGCTCCCTGTGGTCCCCAGCTTGCCGCAAGGCACAGCCTTGGGGGACCACACCTTTCGTATCCTTAAATGCACTTTTTCCATCCACCTTTTACTTTTTATCTCCCAACCTGACTTCCCAGCCGCCTCCCCCAGATGCACCCGCCTTCACCTCCCCGGGCATTTGCACACGCCGTGTCCCCCACGTGGGGCTCCTTTCCCTCTTCCCACACACGGCAAACTTCTATTTTGGCAAAGCTTCAGTCCAAGTGCCCTCCCCCCGCTCGCCCCCCTGAGCTCCCAGGGCCAGAGACTGCAGTGCTCCTCCAACTCGGGGGTCACGCACACGGTGTTGTGGGGCAGGGGGTAGCAGGCAACGCCTGGGCTTGGAAAGGGGTGCCGGTGTGATGCCGCCGACTACGTCCCCTCTTCTGTCTCGGCGCGCCTCCGCCCACAAGTTTGCAGAAGGGCCGCGGAGCTTAGGAGGCCGTACGCCTCCGCGCCGCACTTGCGCACTCGCCGCAGTCCCGCCTCCGAACGCCAGTGCCGCACTCCCATTGGTGCGCGGAGGGGACCGAACGGCGCAGCCACCAATGAGGCGTCCTCATGTGTGGGCGGGGCCCGCACCTCCCGACTCGCGGACGGGGGCGGGCGGAGCGTCCTCCCCGTGGTGATGTCAGGCTCTCATCGCCGCGCGTTACCCTGGAAACCGCGTTTCCATCCCTGCGGGTTTCCGGGGGCTGCCCCCTCCCATTCATAGTTTTCTTCAATGGGGGGAGGGGAAGGTGCAGGGCTGACCCCGCCCCTAGCGATCCCGGCAGCCCCTGCCCTCTCTGCGTCTCCGTTTACCTTTTCGTTACCCCCCGCCGACTCCAGCTCCCAGGTAGCCTGGGCTGCCACCCCTCCGGGCGCTACTCCCCTCGGGAAGCACCTCGCCTCGGGGTTAGGTGTGTGCCCGCGCAGGGAGAGAGAGCCAGTGGCCGGCAGCCCCTACCGGGGTGGTGTCCTAGGACCCCCGGGCTGGACGCCAGGCAGCGCCCTGAGGGGTGGGCTCCCTGGCGGCAGGGCAAGTGCCCCCGCCCTGCACCGTGCAGACGCAGGCCCTGTGATTCAGCCTGTGCTGCTTGTCGACACTTCCCTCCGCATCCGCCACCCAGCCCCGGGCGGTCACCTGGGTCACAGCCCTCAGCCCTGACCTCCAGCCCGGCAGCGTGGGCAGAGGGCCCCATCTGAGCTGTCCCACCCACACTCCGCCCTGTGGCCCTCAGACCTGCAGGGACGTTCACACCCGTGACATGGAGGCATCAGCCTGGCTTGGGCATCCTACCTTCCTCCTGTGGGTGTGTGATGGTTTGGGGGTGACTGGATCGTGGGAGGGGCAGAGGGTGTCTGCAAGGTGCCCCCAGGCCACTCCTGGGTCTGGACCTGTTTCTCTTCCCCCTGGGGTCCCTGAGCTTGGAAGGGCAGGCAGGGGCTTGGGCCATCAGAAATCTGGGCCAGGGGTGATAGTCTTTCATTTAACAAACATCCCAAATCCTCCGGGGCAAATAATGTTTCTTTAACCTCGTTTTTTTACATCTATGAAATGGGAGTATTAATTCTAACCCTTAGGTGGCAGGGCATAAGTGAGGAAATACATGTAGAATGACCTGAGTATTAACATGATGGTCCTGTTTCTGCCCAGCCCCCGAGTGGATGAAGATGGGGACCCCACAGAGAATTTGCACCTGGCCAGATCCTGGGGGAGCCCAAGGAAGGCAGAGGTGGGATATACAGACTGAGGAAGTTCCCTGGCAGAGCAGGGGCAGCTGGAGAGGGGTGTTGTTCCTGGGCAGGGCACATCCCAGGCAAAGGCCTGGAGGCTGGACGCATGACTGTCAGGGATATGGGAACAAGGCCAGAGAAGGCCAAGAGTTCACCTGGTGCTGGTCAAGCCAAGCGGGAGGCATTCACCGCCAGCCCAGGCCCTAGGGAATCATTGAAGCTGACCCCGGTGGTGCCTCCGCGGATGGCCCGGAAGGCGGGCACCACCGTAGCCACCTCCCTGTCTCTGGCTGGGGACACCAAGGTCCAGGGAGTGCAGTCAAGGTCTCCCTGAAGACTGAGTCCTGCGGGTCAGACTCACAGCCAGGCACCCCACCTAGGGCACACAGCAAGCGGCAGGACTCGCCACACCCTTCAAGGCTTCCGGCTCTGGGTACGGGAAAGTGGCCGGCCCCTCACCACCCCCGGGCGCGGAGGACTTCCTGCCCACCCTCACCGCAGTCAGGTAGGGCGCGTGTGAACTGCTCCAGCAGAAGGAACCCTGGGACCTGAGTGTTGGGAGACCCCAGCATCCCACCCACCCTTGGAGACAAGGACCCCTCAATCACGCCCCGGTAGGTTAAAACCACCGACACGCTTGGAGACCCTCCATAATGGTCAAGACCGCCCCCACCAGGCGAGCTGATGGAACATCCAGCCGGTTCATTTTCTGTTTATTACTTGAAATCACGGTGTTGTAATTTTTCTTTTCCAATTTGATGTTTTCATACAGGAAACTCACGCAAGGTGCCGTGACACCCCACCGCCCGACCCTCCAAGGGTGGGTAATGCTTTCTTGGGGGGGCCCTGGTGAGGGCAGAGGGGGTGAGCTGGCTCCTGCCTGGGGCCTCCACCCTCAGACCCGCCAGAGGCACAGGCGTTATTTAAAAATTGTTAAAAAAACAAAACACACATTTAAATAGGTAACCAAGACAGTTCTTCAAAAACAAACCCGTCCCCTTTTTCTTTTTTTTTTGGAAAAAAACAAAACAAAACATATCCTTGACCCCTCCCTGCCCACCCCCCCACAAAAGTTTACAGAGCTACAGTTAACACATGATGTTCACATCTGAAACCATTAACTTTAAACACATTAATGGATGGGGGGGGTTAGAGTAGGTGAAGATCTCGGGTTCACTATGAGGACAAAGGCAGGGAGACAGGCAGGGTAGGGGTGTCGCAGGACAGAAAGGTGGGGCCGGGACGAGACTAACAGGTGGGCAAAGGCAGGGCCCCAACATCTCCATTATCAGTAAAAAATAAGTGATGGAAAAAAAAGCAGTAAAACACTCCACCCCCACTGAAATGGCCCCAGCAAGGTGGGGGGCCCCCTTGGGGCATGGGCATGAGTGGGGAGGGTCCAAAGTAGACCAGCAGCGAACCCCCCCCCCGGGGGTTAATGCTACAGCGTCGCCCCTGCCCGTCGGGGGGATTCACAGCTCAGCACCCCTTTCCCCTCCCCTCCCCCCCCAGGGGCTGAGGGACCCGACAGTCCAGAGGCTGAACCCTCAGCCTGGCCCAGTAAGGAGGGCTGAGGGCGTCTCTTCTGCCCCCACCCCCAGCCATTATTCTCCCCATTTTCAAGATTCCCAACCACTATTGGCTCAGTCAGAAAAATTAAATCTATAAATACCGCAAGCTCAGAAAGAGAAGGGGTGCAGCGGGAGGGGGGTGTTGAAGGAGCCTGTGGGAGCGTGTTAAGGCTGGCGGCAGCCCTGTGTTCGCCCACCCCTTCCCTTCCCGGAAGGGGTACCCCACCCCTACCCAAACCCCGAGGCAGGCTCTGGCCAGCCTCTCCCCTGAAACGGCTTTTCTTTTCTTTTCCGGAAAAAAGGAAATTGGAAAAAAAAGAGAGCAAGAAGAGAAAAAGTACAGATGTGGAAGAGAAAGTCCCTCCTTGCGGTGCACCTGTGGCCCTGGGGTGGCAGTCTGGAGCCCAGGGACCCTGCCAGGGTGGAGGCCAGGGTCTGCAGTGGGTGTCATCTGTGCGCCCCCGCCCTGCCCTGTCTGTAAAGTGCATAATGAGGCATCGGACATTTTTTACTTGAACCTGCAGAGGGTGGGGGAGGCCGGCGAGCGGAAGGGGGTGGGGGCGGCTTCCTGGTCTCCGCTCTCAGCCATCTGGACAGACTGACTGCTACATATTTGGAGCTTGGGAAGGTGGGTGGGGAGGACCCAGTACAGGCGAGGATGGAGGGCTTGGGAAACCATGTTAAGAATCAAAATAATAAAAAAAAGACAACCTAAGGATGCTGGACATGAGGGGGCCTCCCCTGGCGATGACCACCTGCTTGCCCTCCACAACGGGTGGCAGACTGGCCACCCTGGGGTGGGCAAGGGACACGGTTCCTAGGCCACCACAAACTCAGATTTGAGGTCGGGGTTGACTTCTGGCTTCCAGACGGAGTCCTCGAAGTCGAGGCCCAAGCCGGCGGCCTCGCTGGGGCTGCTGCCTCCCCCAGCACTGCTGCTGTCGCTGCGGCCGGCCTTGCGGCTGGGTGGCCAGTGGTAGGGACCACGGGCATCGCGCCGGGCCTTTCTGCGGAGCCGTTTCTGCTGGAGCAGTAGCTGCAGGCGCTCCACCTTGCAGCGGGTGGCACGGTTTTCCGTCTGCCGCAGACGGTCCCCTGCAAAGGAGGCGGTGACCATGAGCACAGATGCCCCTCCATGGAGAAGTGCTTCCCTCAAACTCGAGGACCACCCCCTGTACAAATGCTGTGCTAGACCCAACCCAGTTCTTGCTGGACACCTGCTCTGGCAAGGGTGCCAGTCAGGAAGGTCTACTGGACCCTCCATGGATCCCTGGGGGTTGCAGATTCATTGAAAATTGTTCTCCTGACTACCACCCAGCAGACCACGAGATGAGGACCACCGTTGCATAAAGTAACGGGAGCCTGACCCTGGGCTATTCCTGTGACCAAGGAGAGGTACGCCGGCTTATGCCTCGGTTTCCCCTTCGTGCGCGGGGCTGGGGGACCCCACGTGGCAGAGAAGCACCCTCATTCTGCAGGACTCTGAATTTGTCGGGAATGATGGGGCTGCTAAGGAACACAGATTGCCTTCCTATAGGACAGGAAGCCCCGGCTCCCTCCTCAGCCTGAGTGGGCCATTCACAGAGGTTCCACATGCCATCCGGAGAAGGTGCCCAAGGGGGGGACAAGAGGAAGTGGGGATGGACCCCCCCCTCGGGAGGGCACAAGGACACTTTGTGCCCTCAGCACACATGCTCCCTTCTCTCCAGGCTCTTGTCGGGAGGATGAGCGGCAGCTGGCAGCACCCCCCCAGCGCCCTGGCAGGTCAGCTGTTTGGAGCAGGCACAGAGAAGCCTTGAGGAGCTGAGGACAGGCGGGGCCCGGTGGACACTCACCCAGGGGCTTGCATATGCGGGCCTGGCTCAGGGCGGCCGGCGCTGCAGCTGCCAGCTTCTCGCAGGAGGTAGTTTTAGGGGCGAGGTCCGGGGCAGGTGAGGCAGGTGCGCACTGAGCGTGGCAGCGCAGCTGGGTCAGGGACGGGGGCATGCCCTGGTAGTGCCGCGTGGCACTCAGGAGGTCGTTGAGGATCTGCAGGATGGTGCCGATGTCCCGCCGAGGCCGCCCGCTGCTGTCCTGGCAGTTGGGGTGCAGCGTGCCTGTGGAGGCAGAGGGGCATTGGTGAGCATGATCAGTGGACATGTGACCTCAGAAGTGCAGTGGGTCCCATGTGCGGAGATGGGGTCCCAGGGTGGGAGTGACAGGACAACTTGCTCCCACGAGTGCGGACACATGGCCTCCTGTGGGTCACGTGTGCATGGAAATCCCAGGCAGGACTAATGAGAGCGTGCTCTGCGTCCCTCCCTCCGGCATGTGTGCACGCCATCCTGGTGTGGATGCCTGAAGGTGCCCTGACGTACCAGAGAAGGTCCCTGAGAAGACCCCTGGGGCATGGTTCACGAAGCTCTCGATGACGGCACCGGGTTTGCGGGAGCGGGAGGTGGAACTGCCCCCGGGGGCGGACGAGGGGCTGGCTCCAGCACCGGCAGGGGGAGAACAGTCCATCTGCTGGCGGGGGAGTGCGGGGCGGGGGGGGGTGCATGTCAGCTTGGATGTTAAGAACAGCTCAGCTTCCTTGGGAGTCAGGGTCTGGGGTGGTCCCTCGAAACGAGGGACATGGTTGGGCTCGGCCCCTCCCCCCAACACCCCGATGGCCCACACCAAGAATAAGGCTTCCCCAGACTCACCTCGGGGCAGGCAGTGGAGGCCGAGTGGGACCGGAAGCAGCCGGCTGTGACAGGTGGAGGAGATGCAGGGGCAGGGCTGGTGGGCACCGGGGGGACGCGGGCAGTGCTGGACACTGGCCGGCAGGGTGAGGACACGGGGCTAGTCACACTGGGGTTCCCGCGGGCAGCGGCGGCAGCAGCGGCCAGCACATGGCGGTGCTGCAGTGGGGCATGCTGGGCAGCAAGCTGCAGCTGGACGAACATCATGTGGTCACCCACACGCAGCGCCAGGGTCAGCGGCGAGCGGCCCGACAAGAAGTCACTGACCTGCAGAGAGCAGCCTGTCAGCCCCGCAGCCCTGGCCCGTGGTACCCCCAGCCCGGCCCAGCCCGGCCCCCCGCGCTGCGTGACCTGGGGCCTCTCGCCGCCCCTCTCTGGGCTCTGGGGTCCCTGTCGGTGCCACGGACGCTTAAATAAAATGAATCGGTATTTCCGGAAGCCGCCTCCGCCAGCCCGGCCCGGCCCGGGCGCCGCTGGGGGCTGTGGGGGACAGAGGCGGGTCAGATGGGGGCCTGGCCCTCCCTTGCCAGCTTGGTTCTTTCCAAGGTAAACTGAGGCCAAAGGGGGTGGGGCCCAGCCAGCGGTCACTGCCCTAGACCGCTCACCTCAGTCCTTTCACCTACCCTCTCAGCCCCCAAATCCTCTGCCTGCAGATATGGGAGAGGGGCCTGGGATGGCCCCCTCCCAGTTAAGCCACCCAGGCAGGGAGTGGGCGGAATTCCTGGACAAATTCTTCCTCCTAACCTTTGCTTTCTCAAGATAAATATTTATCTGTCCTGGGTGGGGCAAGGCTGAGGGGGGAGGCTTCACGGCTGCTGGAGTGGGCCCCGAAAGGCTCCCTGGGGCTTGGGTCCCCTGGGGCCTCAGTGCAGCCCACGCAAACGTGAGCCCTCATTCTGGCTCCCTTCCGCAGTGGGCGAAGGGGTGCATCTGACCCCCGTCTGCACGGGCACCTCCTCTGGGGCATGGCCAGCACAGAGCTCTCCCCAGGGGCCAGGATGGGGGGGGGGGGG